GTTAACTTTTCAAGAGGGCTTTGAGGCCATCTGGTGACTTCAAATGGAAATACAGCTCTGTCCTGCGGCCTTCCTCTCACAAGTGTCACTATGTTGCTGTGTTTGCCATCTTTCACAGATTACGCCTAAACTGCAACTGCTTTTCTTCCTGCCTCAGCAATCTCCCCATTCTGCTTGTTTCCTGTATTTGTACAACACGCAATAGTCAGAAGAGAACATTCTACAGTTGCACTTAGTCATTTAGTTTATAGAATGTACGTACACCTGACTTACTATTTACTTAACAGAGAACATATTGCAGTGTCAACATACAATAGTATGTGCTGGCATTCCTCTTTATTTTTCAGAAGGATGTACAGTATGTAGAGTGAAAGCACGATGACAATACTGAAGCACAGGTACTGTATGTTACTACAAGCATTATAGTAGCACAACGTCAGTAGTATATCACGTGCTGGCCATGAAAAAGTGGTTGGGTGCTGCAGATTCAGCATGGTGAAGGGTTGGACATTTGCCGACACTTGTGAATCTAGTCCAGGTTCATTCCTTTTCTTTGAGTGTGGATTTTAAAAAAGGTTAGTCACATGAACACAGTTTACATGGCTTTTAGACTAGGGTAGTTTTTTTGATTGAAATAATATGGTGTCGTAGCCAGGGATCTGTACTGGATAAATTAATAATAATGTTACAAGCAAAGGCGACTAGGGGTTACTAGAGTGATCGGAAAGAGAGGTAACCAGAGGTGACTAGGAAGTGTGTCTGAGTTTAGATAAAGTTTGTGACACCTGACATTGTAAACACTTTTAGCTTCAAAACAGAGGGGGTGATTGCTGAAATGTGGGGATCCCCTGATGAAAAATAAGGTTTACCTGTGTTTATGTAGTTAATTAGGTTGTGGGTTAATGATTGTCAATGAGCTGGTACAATGCGTAGTTTAGGACCCTATGCAGACGGTATAATCCGGAAGTGACTGGAATAAGACATCAGGGGAAACACAGCAGGAGCAGGACGGGATGACAGACAGGGGAGCGTGACTATGGTGATCCTGTTCTACAAGTGACAGCAGGACCAGGGCATCAGCATAGAGCTGGAACGTGATCTATGTATCATGTATGTACAGTATGCATTTTATGTGTAGTGTGAGACAAGGGGGCTACAGTCATGTCACACACAGAGTCCTGTTTGGGGTTTACGATGCTGTTGTGCTGTTGGTTTGGGGGGTTGCCGCTTTTCGGCACTCGGGTGTCTTGGCGGGTTTTTGCTGTTCTGTGTCTGTTAAGAGTTACAGTATGTACAATGAAGAGCAGACTTCTGCGAAACCTGTCCGCCTCAGTCCCTGGTTTTCCGTGGTGTAACACTGGTAACAAGGAGAGAGCTTTCCCTCCCACTGCCTTTCCCATTCCTCGCTTTACCTGGTGAGCCTCCAGCGCCCTAGACTCACTGGCTGGACTCTTTTGAGACTTCCCGGGCTGCACTGGACCTCATTCGCCACAGGAAGGACAGCTGCCGGGAGAGTCTGTGTATCCTCTTACCGATTCGGCGCGATGCAGGACGAGTTCATAAGAGTTCATAAGAGACCAGCTAGCAGAGCGCACGAACAACGTGAACGTCAAAGATTGCTGACAACACTAGATGACCTCACTCTGCACAGGGCTGTTGAAATAGCCTTGTCCTCTACGCTGGCGTGCTGCCCTGCTCCTTCTCCCGCTCTCGCTGCCGGCCATGAGGAGCAGCCACGGCGGCCGGGCAGCCCAGACTCGCTCACACAGGACGCAGACGGGCTGCACACGCGGCAGCGTGAGTCTCCTCCCAGGCGCTGCAGGAATTGTGTTTCGCCCTCTCACGCCACCAGGGCTCAGAACTGCCCTGCCCGAGGGCATCAGTGTCGATGATGCAGCAAATGTAATCACTTTGCCAAGGTCTGCCGTTCAGCGCCGGCCCGCCCACAGCACTCAGCTTCAGCTTCGCCATCCTCTGTTCCCAACATGCAGTGCCCAGAGCTTTCAGAATGTGCACGGTCGAGCTGAACGGTGTGCGTATTCCCCTGCTGCCGGACACTGGGGCCGCGGTCTCTATCCTGAATATCTCAACAGTGGAGCAATTTTGCTCTCACCGGCCTCTCTCAGCACTGTCCACCAACTTGTGCGGTTACGGTTGTTCAAAAATTGATATTGTGGGCTCACTCAGCTTACCAGTGCGCTATGGCTCCAGGTCTCTCTCTGCCTTCAATTTCCACGTGTCTTGCAACGGCACCAACCTCCTGGGACTGGACTTCTTCACTCACCTCGGATTCGCTCTGCTTGACAACAGTTCTTACTGTCAGCTCTCCGTGGCAGACCCAGTGGCCTGCAGTGCTCCATGGCTGCATCACTGCTTTTAACCACAAGCCCCTGACTGACACCCCCGTGCGCCCAGTCATCCAGCCACTGTGCCACGTCCCGCTGGCCCTTTGTGATGAGGTCACTGCCGAACTCCAGAGCCTCCCGGAGGGGGGCATCATTGAACCGGTCAACGCCTCCCCATGGGTGTCCGATCTGGTGGTCGCTAAGAACAAGTCTGGGGGCGTGCGAGTCTG